TTTGTCCATTCATTAAAACTAAAAGCATGTTTTTGTAATGTTAATATTGAAGTAATGATAATCCTACCTACTACTAAAAGGTTTTGTTAATTTGTTAAAAATACAATGAATGTAAATAAACAAGAGAAATGTTCTCGCTATCTGATGCAATATACACATAGAGTAGTAATCTGGGCAGATGATGGTAGTGAATAGTTTTTTTTTTATTCTGAAAATCTGTCATTTAACCAATAATGAAAAAAGAAAGGCATTTCTCTCAAACAACAAATATTTGTTTTTCAACATAATCTCCTTTTTAATTAATTCATTGGTGAATATTAGTCACATGGCTCACATTATATAGTGAACATTTCAGCTAATGATTAGCAATCTATGAACTTATTGAGCCATCCTTGTGTGTGTTAATTTTTTTTTTCTTGTTAATCATTTTACCACTTTAATATTGCATTTAAATTTTTGAAGATCAAAAATTGACTGTAAAGCAAAAAGCTAGAAACAGTTCCACAAGAAAGTGCAATAGAAGAAACTGTTAGCATAGAACTTATGCTTACATCTAGCTATTTCAACTGTAAAATGATGAGACCTTGCCACCAATCTAGTACCTGTGGTTAAATTCATAAATCTAGGTCAGTCAGTTATGTGCCATATGTGATAAACACTTAGGCAATCATATATCAAAAGGTACATGACTGATAAAGCAGATTTTTTCCCACAGTAGATTGCCATTTCTTTCTGTGGTAGACCAGTTACCATACAAGGCTATAGAACCTGATCTGTTCTGCTATTTACCCATAGCTGGGTGGAGAAGATGATTCATACCTTTACCAAGGGTATTAGCATGTAAGTGAATGTAATTGATTCGGCTGGAATTTGAACTTGGCTCTCCAATTCCTTAATCTGAGCCGCTATCCATTACTTCACCATGGAAAGTTTATCAGAACAATTATCATGAAAGTATTTATAGAAAAATCACAGGGAAGCTACATTATGGTGGTGAGAAAGTGACTGAGGCCGAGATGCCAGATCAGGACCAATAACATTTCAGATTCTTCTTTGAATTTTATCAAGAATCTTAAAAACATGACACAAGCAACAAAACACATGTGGCTGCAATATTCAATGCATGATTAAATGGTAAGATAGATTCAGGCAAGAAAAACTGTCTAGCATGCCACAGTGAACCAGCTTTCTTAGCACCTAACTTAGCAATTAATTCAATATATGTCTATATTTCTGAGATGAGGTATTATGTACACTATTTACATTATTCGGACTAGTGTCCTCATCTTTGTCGCCATGTTTATCACGTTTCGGCCACTGTACGCCACAACTTCGCCACAACCATCCGGCGAGTGCCATACTTGAACATCATTGCTTGAACTTCCCACAGGCTCAGGCGGATGAACTAAGATGGAAGGTGAGACAGACCTTGGAGAGGGCCAAGCCATCCAGGTCAAACATCACGAAACTGGAGAGGCTGGCGATCAGATCCCTACAGAGGAACAAAATCATCATACTACCAGCTGACAAAGGCAATGCAACTGTAGTGATGGACATATCAGATTATACAAGGAATCTGGAAGACCTCATTAGCAATGGTAGCTACAGTAAAATAAAAAAGGATCCTACAATGAAAACGGAATGCAAACTGTTGCAGATACTAATCAAGAACAAAGATCACTTCGCTCCTGAAACATATAGGCAGTTATCGCAGAGTTACACAAAGCTACCTTACATATACGGTCTCCCTGAGATTCACAAAAACTGTATTCCGCTCAAGCCAATTGTTAGTTGCCAAGGCTCTGTGTGCCACCCTCTGAGTTGCTTCCTTGTAGATATAATTGACCCATTGATTGGAAAGTCTCCTTCATATGTTTGAAACTCTGCCCAATTTGTGGAAATAATCAAAGATGCTCCCATCCTATCCAACCAGATGGTAAGCTTGGACATGGTGAATTTGTTCACCAAAGTACCCACGGAGGAGGCACTCTCAGTAGTCAGAGACAGATTGGCCTCTGACTTCATCCCTAGAAGAACGGACCAGTATTCCAGTAGATAATCTGATGGAGATGTTGACTTTCTGTACACAAACAACACACTTTGAAATGGGATCACACATATATTGACAGGATGAGGGCTTAGCAATGGGCTAGCCATTATCACCAGCAATGGTGAATATATACATGGAATATTTTGAGGAAATGGCATTAGAATCTATATCTCTATGGTTAAGGTTTGTAGATGAAACCTTCATACCACACCAGGAAGATGTTCAGGTTCTACTGGATCATGTGAACTCAATAAGACTTTCGATACAGTTCACGATGGAGAAAGAAAGTAACATACTTCCATTCCTGGATGTTCTAATATCTCAAACAGAGCATGGGTTCAAGACATCCGTATACTGTAAACTGACATTCACCGGACAGTACCTCAATTTCAATTCCCACCATCCATACAGCGTAAAGAAAGGGACCGTCTGCTGTTTACAACATCGAGCAAAAGTCATGAGTGTCAACCCAGAGACATTAGATAAAGAATTGGTCAGTATAAGTAGTACCTTACAATGTAACAATTACCCTGGGTACATGGCAGCAGCTCCAAACAACTAGGATAGGCGGGTACAAGAGGAGGCCAACACTCAGAAAACAGTCTGCCGCCTTATGTGAAGGGGTTATCAGAGAAAATACAAAGAATCTGTGGTCCATATAGCATCAGGACAACCTTCAAAAGTGGGACAACACTTCACAGATATCTTTCCTGAGTAAGACCACTCCATAGAGGAGAACATGACTAAAGACTGTGTGTACTCTATCTCAGGCAGCTGTGGAAAGAAATATAAAGGGGAGACAGGCTGCCCCCTTAAGGTAAGGCTTCAAGAACACCAGAAAGCTGTAACATGAGGGGAAGTGGAAAAATCAGGCATGGCTGACCACATATGGAGAGAAAAAGGAGATCACTGCCCTCTGTGGGATCAAGTTGAGATCATAGACAAAGAACATCATTGGAAAATTCGTAAACTTAAGGAATCAGCACATATGCTAGGCCACAAAAATCTCCTGAGCCGACCAAGCATAGAAATGAATACAATATGGGAACCAGTAATAAGGAGTGCCAGAGAAAATGATAACAACAAAAAAATTGCAATATGAACTCTGGTAAAAAAACTGGTTGCTGAAGACATTAGGTTTATAATACCTATAAATTCATACACAAATGTCCCCATGGCACAGTGGATAAAGGTGTTAGTTAGATCCAGTGACAGTGTGAGTTCAATACCTGGTTAAGGCGGTGGAGAACTTTCAGAGGGGAATTAACAGGAGATAACTGACATCCATTAGACATGGCACATGGAACTAGAACAGTCTACCCCAGTGAGCAAAATAAAGGGATCAATTTGACATTTCAACCACCTGAAGAAGGCTGGAGCATACGACGACTGAAATGTTGTGATAAACATGGCGACAAAGATGAGGACAATAGTCCGAATAATGTAAATAGTGTAATTCAATATAATCTTTCAACATCATCTTAGTCTGAGAAGGCTCAAGGAGTCGCTCTCCAGGAGGTTAGCATCAGCCATGCTGATGGAAGGCAGAAAAGATTCTCTCAGACAAGAGACTGGTTTTGTTTTGGACATGCTAAAATTAACAAGCCATTGCTCCAGTTAAAATAACAATAAAATGTAAAAGTCACATGTTGGACTACTGCTTTTGTCTACATACTAAAGAGATAAAAATATTATACATTGGTACATTTAGTATGTATGTCATATTTCACTAGTTCAATTTCCAATTGAGTCTTTTGCAATCACACAAATGTCTTTGGTTATGAAGTTATAAATCCCATCTCTTCTCTCCAACTATGAGTTACATAGCAGGGTAGACTGGGTTCTCTGGTGGTAACCAGTTTAAAGGAAGAAGAACTCTGAATTCCAATCCTTGAAGAAGTCAGTGGAAACTACTTCACTATCTTTGCCAAGGATACGTAGCAATTACTATAATAAAAATAATAAAAAAAAATTTAAAGAATCTGTAGAGAGCCATGACTGACTAGGTCCTGATGGGACATGGCACATATAAAAATGGTACATTTGAATAAAACAAAAAAAGCAAGGATAAAGAAAGTTTTAGAACAAAAACTGTTAAAAACAAAAAAAAAAAAGAATGTGTATTATCAAAAATTAGGGGAAAAATTTGTTAATACACCTGTAAATAGCAACATTATTAATTTAATATTGATACAGAATATTAAGATGTTTACTCATGTCTTTCTTTCTTCTGCACACTGATACTCAAAGGACTTCACTAATTTGTCACATTGAACATGATTTTGTTCCATTACTGCTGTGATTCATTCCATAGATTGTTTACTGTTGTTTCCTTGTTGATCTTTCAAAGGTTCTCTGTTGGATTCAGATTTGGGCTTATGGTAGCCATACCATAATCTTGATATTTTCATCTTTTGAAGTATTGTTTTAGCATTTTTGCAGTATGACAAGGGACATTGTTTTGCATCAAGATAGATCCAAAGATAGGAGATGCTATCAGACAGGGAACATGCTGTTCAGTAATATTCTTATATTGTGAGCCAGTACAGGTATGAGAGAATATCCCCTACCACTTAAAAAAAAAAAAAAAAAAAAAAGGACCAATATCTTACCTGTACTGATGCGGCATTCACCCTGGGCGGATTGAGCCGGCTTCTTCCTGTTATGAGAAGATTCTTGGGATAAATTACAGAAGTAGGGTACCCAGGCCTACTCGAATAACATTCTTGCTTGCCGCGGGGTTCCCACAGATGCAGAGACAGGAACGACCAGGAGCCGCCGGTTACCAATGCAGACGCTCCTTGGATTTTCACCAGAGCCCTTGTTAGCCGGCATGTGTGTCAGACCTGTCTGTCTTGGGTGGCCCTACCAGGAAGCAGTTCAGGCGGCATAGCTCTGACACTACCGTTTACCCCCCCACTGACTGTGAGGTAAGGGTTGGACTTTGGGGGCTTACAGTACCAGGTGTTCCCAAGCGGTCCCCCATCTAAGTATTGACCTGGCTCTACGATGCTTAACTTCGGTGATTTGACCGTAAGCTAATATCTTACCACCTGAATTTAATTTTTTTCACCCAATTAGGAGACAATCTCTCACCTTTCCATTATAGTGATTTTTTTTATTTTTTTTTCCAAGCATAGCTTAGATGTGGCACAAGGCTGAAAGTATGGGGCACCTAGTGAGGATCTAACTCACTACTCGGTTGTAATTGTTCTAGTGGGACAAGCTTGCTAACCATTACACTGCCTCCAGATGCCCTCACCTTTCCATTATGACACACTGCTTGTCATCAAAACCAACAAAATTAATTTTAGCTTCATTTCAAAGATACTATTGCTCAATTTTCATAAATCCAATCATAGTTCATTTGCAAAGGCTTGTCTAATTTTTGGGTTTTTCTTACTGATGAGGAGTTTGATAGTAAGAAAACCTGAAAACCCCTGCTTCAGATAAATAACATCGCACTGTTTGCTGAGAGACTTTCATGCCAAATTCTTTGATTATTTCATGCCTGTGTCAAAACAATCCAATATGCTTTTGAATTGCCTGATTCTAGTGAGGAATTATTTTTGTATGGTCACTCTGGTACTTCATGTGATTTAAAAGAGTTAAGATCAGTAATAAACTTTAATATTCTAGAAGTTACACTTTTAGATCTATTAACATATTTTTTGGAAATGGCTGGATTAGTACTGACAGATTAATACTGGCAATAGATATTAAAAGTGGAAATTTGATTTGGCAGCACTGCTTAATTGTATTTCTGTCATGAAAACTTTTTGTTTTTGTGTATATGATCAATATACTATTTTTGCTAGGCCTACAGAGGTGGTTAATCAAAGCATAAAATTTGCACTGATTCTTTCAATTGTTTTATTTTCTATTATTGTCCTGTATCTATTATTCCAACTTCATTTCACAGGATGTGGTCATTGCCAATTTATCTTCAATTTTTCAAGGACATAGTTCATAAAAGATTCAAGTCTTCAGAGAACATAATATTTATACATAATGCTTATACACAGTTTTTAGTCATGTTTTTGCTTGACTCTGGTGAGGTGACTCTAAAGAGTGACTGTATTTTTTAATACAGTCTTGATGCTTCATGGATTGCAGTTTTTCCGAATCATTTCCAACATGTTTCTGATACAATGTAGATAACTCATAAGTTTTGTGATCATCATCAATCCTTATACCTCAGAGTATTGGTTATACTGACCAACTCTTGTTGATAAATGTTTTGTTGTATATGATGTATGTTCTCTTTGCAATATGGTTGATAGGAATCAAAATGTCCTGGTGAATACTGGTTTTTACAGATGTCTTGAAAATATACTCCATGTATGTTAGGAGTATATCCAGGAAGGCCAGTTTATGGTTCATTTTCTTTTGCCATGAACTATGTTGAGGGTTTTGTAGAGTTCACCTAGTCCAGCAGCATTTTGTGCATTTATCCATTTATCTCATACTGGCAGTTGACTTAAGTGGTGTCATTCTTAAAGCCATTTTTATTTATTGTATTTTTTCATATATACATTTCATTTCTTAATTGGAAACATTGTTTGTATATAGAATGTCAACTTTTAAATAATTCCAAATCATTTCTGTTGAGTGTTGTTTTTGCTTTCTCTAATTTGTAACTACTTTTTTTTAATTGTTTGGTTTTCTGGAAGGGTTTCATAGTAGATGACTTCTTTTAATCTCATCATATACACAACATCACCATCTTTGGATGAATATTGGCCTTAAGTATGGTTAGTAATTACTCATTTCACTTGATCCATAATCGTTGGCATTTCATGTTATTGTAACATATCCACTTTTCATCACCTGTCACAATTTGTTTTAAAATGGAATTTATTTTTTTTTTGTTTAGCTTACATGGAAGTCGTACATCAAACTGACTAACATAACTAAATTCATCAAATGTTTTTTCAGCACTTTATTTGGATATTTTGAGCATAGTTACTCTCTTTTACACATTATACATATAATGATTATTCTCATGTAATATCTTGATTCCTGTCTACTTTAGAACATTATTCACTGAGAAGTACTCAACACAAAACTATGCAAACCGCTTTTGTTATGCATTTAATTATTCACAGTACCGTTTTCCTAAACTGCACAAATCTTTTTTGTGTTTGAGTTAAATTTTCACCTGTAAATTGCTAATAAGCATAAACTACCAAAATTTTTTCACTTCTCTTCAATGACAGAATCAAGAAACAAAAACATGCCAATTTTTAAAATTAAAAGGAAATTGATGTTGGTATATTTGCTTACAATACAATATTTTTCAATGATTTTAGTTAATATTAAATGCTCCTTTTGTCATCAAACAACAAAAATCAAACAAAATTTTAACCACTTAATGCTGCTAGTTTTTTAAGATTGATTTAGAAACTAATGGATCATTAAATTGTCTTTGATGTACATAAAAAAAAATTCTATTGGCTTTGATAACTTTGATAAATTTTGTGATAGAATTTCAAAAACAATTTGTTAACTTCTGTTACAGGAGTTAAGCTCCATGATAGTGTAATTTCAATGATTCCTTTACATATTCATTGTGACTCATAAGTTGAATTTGTAGAAAGATATAAATCTTTTTGTACAAAAAGCAAAAAAACATCAATGCCAATGTCTGTATTTTTAATGTAAGCATAAATCCTGGCTTAATTCATTGGAGTTTCAAAAAGGTCATTTGTAATGCAGAATTATAACAGCAAATGTTTTGGAAGAATTACTTAGTTTTTCTAAATTTGTGCATTTTTTGTTGGAACAGCATATACTTGAAGTTTCATAGGGTTACATTTAACAATTATGAATAAATTGATGCAGTATAGTTAATATCTACTCTGTAATTAATTGCTACATTATTCCAGGAATATAGTTGAAATCAGTTTATCCAGCTTTATACAAATATGTGTATATGATTCTTTGCTATCTAGAAGGCATCTGCTTCAAGTATGAAATGGCCAAAAGTAAACAATGTAAATTTACAACTTTATCAGTCACTAAACAAAATAGACTCCAGTTATTAAATTGTGATGGAAGCCAACAAACAGTTTTGTCATTTTCTTTCTGTGTGAGCTTTTGTACTTAAAAAAAAAAAAAAAGAAAAAAAAAGCTTCATGTTAGGCTTCCTTCCAGGTTTTCAAAAGATGACAAGACTTAGTGTTTCAGATTTTGATTTTGCAAATGAAACAATTTTTCCAATTCCAAAGCTTAGAATAATTGCTGTAACAATCATTGTTGATTGTGGTAATTATCATTAAAACATTTTCTATATAACAAACTGTTAAGTCTAACAGTAATGTAGCTTAACTATATGGGTTCATAGCTGTTATGTTAAGCATTTGGTAGCAAGAGAAAGGAATAAGGATGATTAGAATCAAATGCTTATTGTTGGTAGAGAGTACAGGAATAGTGATCGGGTGTATGCGTAGTGTCAGGAGTTGAACCATTTCTTATGCCGGTATGGCTGAGGTCACAGGATATGGTTGGTGCATGTTTGGTTGATGGAGGTCACAGTTGTAAGTTGTTTTGCCAGTTGGTAGATCTGTTGTGTTGAAACTGGGTGATGTTGGATTGGTGTGGTCTTGGTAGCCCTGTTCTATGGAAAGGTGGTTACTGCATTGACTGTGAAAGGAATGCCTTGTAAAGGAATTGAGGTAGGCCAAGGTGACGTTGGGAGGCTGAGGTGGCAGGTCAAGCCAGGAAGTGGTTACGGTCATTGAGATGTGCAGTCATGTTGAGTAGTGGCGGTGAAGCTGACAATGGTGACAGTAGTCATGCTTTGTATGGTGCTGGTCTGCAACTCTGTTGTCCTGGTGACTAGGTCATGATAGCAGTAGCAGCAGCAGCGCCCTGCAGTACAGCCGGTAGCTGCGCCAGGCCACAACTGTCTCCTGGGCATTGTCAGAGCCTGCTTTTAAGCAGGTCTGGTAGTCCCGAGGGGCGTCTCTTATACTGGCGAGAACATTTGTGATTGGCCACTGCCGGAGTTCACTTTGTAGAGCAGACATGGTGTATAGAGCCTAATGTTCAGAAAACAACTTTTTTTTTATTTTGTTCTCTGCCTTTGAGGCATTCACATCCAGCTAGCATACAGAATGAATCAGAATGAGATCTAATTGTGACAGTGTAACATGATCAAAGGACAAGGACAGACCTGTGACAGTTTGTACATATTGTGAATCTTGTGATCATTATATTAGATGATGAATGCATATATAAAGTGATCATTAATTATGATTTACAGCATTCAAATTCATGTCCTTTTTAGTTTTTCAGGAGATTTAGAATAAGAAAACCTTTTGTTTGGGTTCTTTCTCTTTCCATTCTCTGTTCAAATAAATTGAAAGATTTAAAAAAAAAATTGTGGCAACAGCAAATAACATTGAGTGAATAATTCAAAAAATCTCGTACTAATAATGACTCCTGTTCTTAAAATTAAAAATGATTAATAATTAATAAAAATAATTTAGTGCATTATCAACTCCATGTACCTTAGAGATATAGTTATGATCTTCTAAACAATTTACTTTAACTTCAACAATCTATTTATCTCTGATAATTTTGAGAGATGATACTTATTGATTGATTAGATATGTTAAAATATTTTCTTTATCAATAACCGTAGTATTGCACTCAATTTGAAAGTTAGGGTTTGACATGATATATAATGACATAAAATATTTTTTCAAAACTGTTACTGTTTTTTGAGAAAACTAGTTTAAATATTAAGTTTAGGTTCAAAATTGGAGTGTTGGAATTTCATTTCAGTGATTAGGGAAATCCCTATAGCACAGCCTTATAAAATTTTACAATGTGAAACTTTACAAATTGTATATGGACAAGATGCAAGGCACAAGCATATTATCACTAAATCATTGTGCCATCAGATAAGACTATCATTTACTTCAAAGAGACATTTTACTAAACAACTTAGCTATATTATGATACAATATGTTATGCAGTACAGTAGTTTCAATAAACAATGCAAATTTAAAACATTTTGTCTTA